ATTTGGATGTGTCTGTAATTTGAACGTAATTTTTGTGATTATATTAGTATATTTTTCTGATGACAGTTTAAGTATCAGTAACTCAATTTAACTAATAATTTTAAGTGACACTAACTTAGTTTTGTAAGTTACAGAAAGCACTTTTTTACGAGGTATTTCGTTTTCACAGCACAAATAAAAATTACAAAATTAAGTCAGTCTCACTTAAAATTTCTAAAACTACTTGATCAACAATGTTTTTTTTACCTTACAAAATTTACAAGAATTTCGATGTAATGTTTTTGAGTTAAAATAAGTGATCAGGTGTTTTTCATCATGTGTGGGTGGGGGTAAATCCCACGCTGGGACACTTAGCTGCAGTGAGAACCGAGGCTGAGTGACCTTTTTAAAAACAAGAAGTGAAAAGCATTACGCCTCTGCGTGGCGATATAACGCCTCGTCTGACCTTTTTTTTATCACGGGAAATCCCTTCAGATCTGTCTCTTTATAATGTAGCACTTCTCTTTTAAAAGGCGTCCCACTAGATACATGTGACATGTTTTTTCTCCCCCCCTTGTGGTACAACAATGTTAAAAATAACAGATGTTTTATGTCTGCATTTATGTAGTCATCAAATAAATAGACAAAATGACATGATGCAAAAAATATAGGATGGTTTGTTTAGATTTAATGGTGTACAGAGGACCTACAGGATATCTGTGCTAATTCAGTCAGTTGGATATAAGCATTATTGTTAATTATTGTTATTAATTGTTGTGACCATGTTATATTAATGGCTGCCGTACGCTGGTCTTTCAATGTTTGGTTCAGTTTATATGTAGAGTTTTGTTTTCTAGGACGTTTGTAGCGATGAAAATGTGAATAATGTGAAGTAAAGAATACCTGGAGGAGGACGCTGAGCAAATTCAGGACAGAAAACAATGACTGAAGCGTTTGTTTCTGATATAGTACGTTAAATAAAGGTTGAATTGTGATGTTGAAAGCATGTTGAAATTGATTGACAATGGGACATAGTGTTGTTTGAGGTGTTTTTTTCATCTATGAGGCAATAAAAGAAGAGAAATGGATCTTGGATCTGGCATTAGTTTTGGATTGAGAGGAGTAAGTTGAAGAGAAGGTACTGGATACTAGAATATTATCACATGTCAGTGGTCAGGTGCATTAATGGTTTGGATTTGTAGAAGTGCTGCCACTTTCAGTTTGAAAAACAAAAAGTAAAAAGATTTTTTGGTGCAAACAAAGCTTTTCTTGTGGTAAATGATGAAAAAAAAACATGTTTATGAAATACAGACTTTAAATTACACTGCAAACTCAAATTAGAGTTTAACAGCGAAACATTTAAGAACTTTTCTCTTTGAGGGGCAGAAAAGTCTTCAAAAGGCTTGTGATGAAGTTTATGATTAAATTATAACGAGTTAAAGACATGTGTTTGTGGTTCTTATGAAAGGAAGCCATGCAGGCAGTATTCGTGCTGCAGGGAAACTCCATCTATATATTTCTGAGTTGCTTTCTGAAAACTGAAAACGTAACAGAACTTTAAAAAGCAATTCATCAATAAGGAAAGTGGAAGGAAGTTTCTTTAAAAAAGGAGAAATTATCTGTACATAGCGCAGTAATAATGAGAAAATGAGTTCCTCAATTTATTTTATTTAATTGTCTGTTTTGTCCATTTCATGTTTCCAGTAAGAATTAAAGTTTGTGAAAATGGGGTTTCAGTTTTAAGGATTATAACTTAAAGTGTTTTAAGCTGGTGTTTTTGTGACCTTGTGTTTTTAACATGTCATTGTACTTTAACAGCTCTGCTGCTGCTGCACTAATGGTACACTGTAATATATATAATATTCCTATTTCATAAAACATGTTAAGTCTGTATGGATTTATCCCTCTTTCCATCTTGTCTCTATGTTGTTTGTAAGTCAGCTGAGCTGCATCATTACCAGCTGGAACAGGTTTGCTGACCTATATTTCACAGCAAATTAAACTTTTAAAAAAAAAAAATTTAATTTAAGCTTTTTTATTCGTTCTGGTTCCCCTATCATAATTAATGAATACATTTTAGAACCACTTCTCACGAGAAATATTAAAAGAAACAGGTGAAGCAGAAGAAAACATTCTGAATTCTGAAACGCTGAAGACTACAGTTCCCACAATGCAGCTTGTGAGCATTTTCTTCAAAGGCTGAGGGATAAGAAATCTGACCTTCATGTTTAAAATTGTTAGTTCTCCTTTTATTAAACAGGACCACTTGTGCTTAAAGGTCACGGTGAACTTCATGTGCTTCTGTTTTAGTGTGACAGCCCCTAAAGGAGGCAAAAAACGGATAAATGGATGTTTCTTTTCAAAATCAAATCTGACTTTTTTCCCTTCTGATATTGATGTGTCTATAATGGTGACCTTAAGAGACTTCTCATGAGACCAAGGTTATGTATAGTAATGTATGTCAGTGCTACGTTGTTTTTTTGGTGAGTTGACACCTTCTCTAAAAGGAAATAAACTCACACCTTTGCTCAGTTTAGCACAGCATGTATATTCTTTTCTTGCATCCAGTTTGTTTCATGCTTTTTAAAACCCTCATCATTCTCAGAATCTCTCTCAGACTGCCAGTAGTTGTGACAGAGAAGGCGTTTTGTTGTGTACCCACTGATGCATCAGGGACAGAGGACAGTTGGCTCAGGGTATGTTCTGGTGCCCGACTAATAGATGTGACTGTACACTGTGGCAGCATATGAGCTGAGGTCTGCAGTTGGGAACGTCGGGTCAGACTACATGCTAAATATGGAAAAATAGAACAAGAATATCAAAATAAATTTAAAAAACTAAAGTTCTTTCAATGGGGTATTCTTTCAGTTGATGGTAGTATTTACGTAACATTAAAGTTCTACTCCACTACATATTGTACTTTCTACTTCACTACATTTGTCTGACGGCTTTGTTTCTTTTCAGATTTACAATTTTTTCGTTCCCTTCTTGACCAGAACAAAACCAAAATCCACATTTATTGATTTTTAATGGTTGTGATAAACTGAAGTTTTCCTTTATGGGTTGAGAAAATGTGTACTTGAGTACTTGTGCTTTACTTGCATTATTTATTTTTAATATTTTTCATTGACAGGAAAATATTCCACTACATCAGGAGAGACTTAATTTTGAATAACTAAATATATTTAATCAGGCAGAGTCCTTCATTTCAAAATAAAACAACAAAGTCTTTTTCATGCATTTTGGATCATTTGCTTTAATTTTCTTTGCCCACAATGTTTGATTGACAGGTGATCCAATCAGCTCTCAGAAACAAAAAA